ACTTTGTGAATTATAAGTGTGGTTTTCGTCATATCGCCTTTTTTTTTTTTTTTTTTTTTTTTGGTTTTTGGTTTTCGAGACAGGGTCTCTGTATAGCCCTGGCTGTCCTGGAACTCACTCTGTAGACCAGGCTGGCCTTGAACTCAGAAATCCACCTGCCTCTGCCTCCCAAGTGCTGGGATTAAAGACGTATGCCACCACTGCCTGGCTCCTCATGACTCTTAAACTCTTTTTTTTTTTTTTAAAGATTTATTTATTTTTTTATTTATATGAGTACACACTGCAGCTATCTTCAGACACACACTAGAAGAGTACATCGAATCCCATTACAGATGGTTGTGAGCCACCATGTGGTTGCTGGGAATTGAGCTCAGGACCTCAGGCAGAGCAGTCGGTGCTCTTAACCACTGAGCCATCTCTCCAGCCCCCGGGCTATTGTTCTTTTAAGAGCTGAAAAGTTTTTCTTGGGCCAGTAAGATGGGTCACCAGGCGTGTGCCACCACTGCCTGGCTCCTCACGACTCTTAAGTATGCCTCTGGGATACCCAGCCAGGCCTAGCCACCTCTGTGCTTTTTAGCTTGGAGGCTGTTTGGCTCAGAAAGCTCAGGTGTTTCATGAACCCAGCTAGCAGGCCAGAACTGGTGTGTATAATTAAAAAAAGAAGAAACTAGGCAAAAGGCCTGATTCTTGTCAAACCTGTGTTCTATTGGGAGAGGAACTCAAGACATGCGCAGTGACACACTGGTGCCACTGAAGTACATGCTGCAGTACATGCTCTTCCAGAGGAGGAGGCAGGAGGCTCCTGTGAGTCCAGGAGTTTAAAACTAGCCTAGATGCCACAGCAAAACCTCAGCTAAATAAATAAGAGTAGTCCAGAGTACCTCTAATTAGTGGAAACAAACTGAAAAATTCATTTCTCTTCATTTAATATTTCTTTCTTAAGTAGCAATAATAACAACAACAAAAAAAAACCTGATGGATATGTATCCTGAACTATTGATATCGAGAGCTGATTATTTTTGTAACAAGAAAATAAATGTGGGTTTAGGCCAGGCATGGTGGTGCTAGGCTTTTAATCTTCCAACAGGCAGGCAGATCTTTGACTAGGCAGTGAGACATTATCTTAAAAACAAAACAATCAAGTTCAAGTAATTGTCTTTTCCAGAGCATATTAGCACATCTCAGTGCATTGCCCCACATGCAAGTTGTGTGACATTACTCAGGCCACAAAATGGAAGAAGCTGACCTCTTCTGAGGAGACCTGACTTGTGTCAGTTCTAACTCTTACTATTTAGCCAAGCATGTTCTGCTCGGTAACTTAATCTCTGTGTTTCTTTATCATCTGTAAGATAGTATGAGCTACAGGGCCTTAGTCACAGCCGGCCAGCTCCAGGCTGGGATTGAAAGGGGTTTTGTTTCTTTGTTTTCCTTTATGCTAGAAGGCCTTGGAGTTTAGCCTAGATCGCTTCCACTTCTTCATCTTTTACCCTCAGCTTCCCAAGTACAGGGTCATAGCTATGCCCACCAGGCCTGGCTAACTGAACATCATTTGGTGGCAGAGCCTGATTTTATTGCAGGTAAGGCTTCATTTGTCGTGTTTGGTTTATATATTCAGCTGTATTGCTTAAGAATTGTTGCTAAGGAATCCTGGGGTCCTAATCCAGGCTTATGGTTTGTTTTCTAAAACACTAAAAAGTATGACCCCTGCTACCTGTGTGGCATGGACTGTAGCATGTTATATCATCCTTAAACATTTAGAAAGGGTTAAAGGTAATGTTTGTATTGTTTGGCATCCAGTACCTAATAAGTGGCAGTTATTAACCTTCGCAATGTCCAATCCTGAGGTCCATGGGTTCTGAGGTTTTGCTTTTCCCACCCTAAGCAAACCTGTCTTATTAAAACCAAGGGCAGGACTGGCAGGGGTGGTCTTGGTAGCTGTCAGCTGGAGCCTGGAGCCTCAGCCTCACTTAGGAGTTGTCTATACCCTTGCCCGGAATGCCCTTTGCGCCCTGTTCCCTCACTGGCGCATTCTGGATGTATACTTCGCTTCAGGCAGCAGGGAGAAACTGGGAGGCTCTAGGGACAGTAGTGTGACATACTGGGAGTCCACGGCCATGAGAACTTTCCAGCATTCCGAGAACAGTGCTGTCCTTAATAGGATTCTTCTTGGTCATTTTAGGGCCCTGTTGTTTACGGTGACATACTGAAACAGAAACAAAACAGAAGTGCTGTGGAGGGAGGCAAGCCCTGCACCTTGTCTTTTTTGGGTGTTGGGGTGAAGAGGGCTCCCTAAGCCTGCTCTTCAAACCCAGAGCCATTTTCCCTTTGCATTCCTTGCAAGTCCTGGTGAGAGCAGCCGCTAGACCAGTGGTTCTCAACCTTCCTAATGTTCCGACCCTTTAAGGCTGTTCCTCATGTTGTGGCAAACCTCAACCATGAAATTATTTTTTATTTCCTAACTGTAATTTTGCTACTGTTACGAATCGTAATGTAAATCTCTGTGCTTTTTCAGCGGTCTTAGGCAACCCCTGTGAAGGGGTCATTGACTCCCAAAAGGGTCACAACCTACAAGTTGAGAAACACTGCAAAGAAATATGTAGGGCATGGTCACGGTGAGCTTTGCAGAGAGCTGCTCACCTTGGCTGTGGTATGTGGTAGGTAGATCGAAGCTGCAATTTGAGCAGTGAAGAGGCAGAGAGGCAGGAGAATTGCCATTAATTAGTTCCAGGATTGCCTGGGCTACAAGAGTAAGACTGTCTTAAAAGAGAACAGTTGTTATTCAGTTTTTTTTCCCTGTGAAATCTTGTCTTTCCACATTTTGAAGGAGTTAGTGACTTTAAATCGTCTGTGAAGGTGTTGCTTTATCTCATTGAAACTCCACGGGTCATTAATGTGGTAGACTATGAGTTTTAGTTATATGTTGATCAGTAGATAGTAGTTTTCACTAACATATTTTATTAGAAATGGCAAGAAAACAAAACTCAGGATTCTACCTTTTTTTTTTTTTTTAAAGAAAGTCTTACTCTTTAGACAAAATAATGTGTGTCCATATTAGGAAATGTAGGAAATCCAAATAAAAAGACATAGCTCACAGGGCCCACCAGAGTCCAGGGTTCTCTAACATTCCAGTGCAACTGTGGATTGCCTACTAACAGATGTGCTGTATTTCAGAAACAACTCCCTCGTTAGATAATTGTGTTTCCCAGTTCTTAAAATGAGTGGAGATACTGTGTAGGATCGTGCAAGGGGCGGTAGAAATTCTGTACCTTCAGCTCAGTTTTCCTGCTCACAAAAGTTTTATAAAGTGCACAGACAGCACAACACAAAAAGCAGTTTTTGTGTTGGCATTTGTAGTAAGACACCTTCCAAACCTCCTGCTCCTTGCAAAGTTTTCCTTTGCAGAGACCAGCTGGTATTGTGCTTCTGTGAACACGGATTGTAAGGTTTCCAGTAGTCTTAGCCGGACTAGGGACAGCAAAGCAGTGCAGCAGTAGTTGAAAACCAGATTCTCTCTGGAAGAAAATGCTTGCAGTAGGGTTAAGAAGCCTTAGGCTAGAACTGAGCTCAGTCCCGATTACGTACTAGAGCGGGAAATTAATAAAGGGAAGCTTCAGAGGGTGAGGGGTCATTGCTTTAGGTGGACCAGCATGGTTGGTCGTGGTTGGGCAGTGCTGGATGTGGTGTCCATATGTGTAATCCAGCACTCGGAAGGTAGAGGTAAAAGGGTTGCCCGAGCAAGTTCGAGGCCAGCCTGGTGTACACAGCCATTTCCCGAGCCAGCCAGAGCTACACAGTAAATTGACCACAGACAGTTTACCAAAGGCCAGTCGAGTTGGCAAGGGGAGTCAGAGGAGCCTGCACAGATAGTTTAGTCTAGGAAAGACTGTCACAGGGAGGGAAAGCTAGCTTCTCAGAGCTGTGCCTGGGCGCTCTCTTCTCCTCCACAGTTTGTGGGGGGGTTCGTGCTGCAGGGGCGTGGTGAGAGGCGGCAGGGGGCGTGGCCCGGGCCTGCACGTGTTGTGGAGTGAGGCTCTCTCTACTCTGGCCAGGGTTAGCCCTATCAGATCCCCGCCCTGCGGTGGGCGCCTTGCAGCTCAGTGGGGCTTATGGAGGAAGGACTCTGCGCGGAACTCCCATGGCAGCCGCTGCCAGCAGCACCAAGGCCATGGCCCTGGTCAAGCGGACCTTGGTGCTGAGCCCGGTCGCTGCGCCTAAGACTCCGGGGTCACCCCCACGGGGCTGCTCCTGGCCCCCCACCGCCTGGCCTTTCAAGGACTGGTCCCGGGCACGGAGCCCGGCTGCCAGCTGTCTGCCCCAGCCTCACTCCTGCTCCACGTCTGCCACCACGGTGTGTCTTCTTTTCCCACAGGACTCGCTCAGCAGCAGCTTGAAGACATGCTACAAGTATCTCAATCAGACCAGTCGCAGCTTTGCAGCGGTGATCCAGGCGCTGGATGGGGACATACGGTTAGTGGAGAGCTCTGACTTGGGGAGGACCGCTTTTCCAGGAACCTTTGAGTCACTGCAGCTACAGCTAGGTTGACACACCACATAGAATTATGGGCTCCTTGTTGTGGCTTAGGCAGGACTGCCTCCCCCCCCACTCCGCCCATGTGTTTACTTGCAAATGCCCTTCCAGGCACCTGGCCATCTACCAGCGTCCTTTTAGGCCAGCCCTTTCACAGAAGGGGGTGGGGCAGCCATGTTGATTACCTTCTTTTAGTCTTGGCACCTGTACCCTTTAGTGAGTAGGCTAGACAATTTTTTTTTTTTGCCTTTTTGTTTGTCACCTTATGTTTCAAGGGTACTGAGTCCTCAAAAAGTATCTCTTGTGCACATTACACACAAGTTTAGTGCAGTTACTGTGCCCGTGACAGCATTCATGCTGGGAAGTTTTCCATCTACAAAAAATCCTAGTGCCCTCTAAACATTTGCCTCTTGGTCCCTGTCGTGCATTGCTTAGATGGAAAACATTCCTGACCCACATAGCACCCACCTGCTTAGCTTTCCGTTTTACTCTTTACTCAGAAGCGGTAGAGTTCACTGCTCCCACTTAGTGAACTTAGTGACAGGCAAACAATCGATAAGTGCTAAGTATGGCAGGCTTTGATGTCGCTTCTAATCCTGCAGAGTGAGTGGTAAGACGACTTTAGAAAATGGCTTGGCACAAATTATTTATTTAGTTAAGCTTTTGAAGTAGGGTCTCACCTTATGGTCCCAGTTGTCCTGAACTCAGCATCTTCCAGCCTCAGCCTCCTGAGGTGAGAGAACAGGCATGAGCACGGCCCTGATTTACATATTAGTCAGAAATACATATTTAAAAAACAGGCTGATGAAATGGGTTAGCCTGTGAAAGTGCTTGCTGCCAAGCCTGACAACTTGAGTTCAGTTCTCAGAACCCACAGGCGGAAAGGGAGGACTGGTTTCCTGAAGTTGTCTTCCAACCTCCCACATGCGCCGGGGCACGCCCATGCTCTTTCACACACACAAAATAAGTAGATGTTTAAAAAAAAAAAAAGCACACACTTGGTACCATGTTCCTAGCTTTTCCTTTTTCACAGACATGCGGTGTGTGTGTTTTACCTGGTTCTCCGAGCCCTGGACACCCTGGAAGACGACATGACCATCAGTGTGGAGAAGAAGATCCCACTGCTTCGCAGCTTTCACACTTTCCTCTATGAGCCGGAGTGGCGGTTCACCGAGAGCAAGGAGAAGGACCGACAAGTGCTGGAGGACTTCCCCACGGTACTGGACTCTGTCTGGGTATATGTTGTCAATAATTGGCAGTGCAGTTTTCAGCCTCTGAGCTGAGAGAAAGGTGCCATGAACAGTCTGAGGGCAGCTGAGAGTCCAAAGCCAGACCTTTTTGGTTGGAATCCCAACTTGTTAATTGGTAACGAGGTTTATAGCCTCTCCCTACCTCGGTTTTCCCTCTGTGTGGTAGAGACAATAACAGCTCCCCATTTCTAGTGGTGCTGATACTCTTGAGGGCAGCGTGGCTGTGACCCTTTCTACAGGCTGTTACTGAGAAGTCCCGGGGCCATTCTTACACTCAGGTCTGAAATTCACATTTCAGGTCTGAAGAACTGTCAAAATAGTAAAAGAAAAAAAGGTGGATCTCTAGACCGGCTTACATGGGCCTGTTGACTGTAGTGTAGCCCACAGTGAAGCTGGCAGCTTAGGGTTGTTGCTCAGCATGGCTCATACCTTTGGATGGGGTGTGGCCTTCTGCAGCAGCTGAGGTGAGATCCTTGGCACTTTCTTAATTGAGTTCTGACTCAGTGTCCCAATATGTACCAGTAGAACTGTAAAGAGTTGGATAATTTCTTATGTATAAACTTCTTAGATCAGTGCCTGGTGTGTGCTAAGTATTCCGTAGGTATTAGCTCTTGAGATGGATTATAGGTAAAGCCCCAAGCTTTGGGGACCCTAAAGTTTATGGTGTACATAGACCTCACTTCTGGAATATGCATGTTCAGCAAAGTCACGTGTTCTCTGATACCTTAAAGAGGGCATTTGTCTTGTGCATAGCTTTCTAGAGTTATGGAGAACAGTCCTTATATAACTTTCACAATAAAGGAATCTAGTGTGTACTTGTGTGTAGGGGGAGCTGGGTGAAGAGAAGGGGAGCCCAGCCAGGTTTGAGAAAGATGGGCTGTTTCCAACTCGCTGAGATCATGTTTTCAGGGCCAAAGACCAAAATATAGTATGCTGTGCTCTGAAAGTACCTAGGACGTCTGCAGGTTACTGAAGGCCCTAAAGCTCTAGGGAAGGTCCTGGTGCATTGGTGTCCTCAGGGTACCTGATGGCCATCGAGTTCAGTTATTCTGACAACTGTATAGAAGTTCACTGGTGAGCCTTTGAGTCCTGCTAATGTAGATGAAGTGCCATGACCCACTTGGTTGTATCTTCTTAGTAACAGAGGTGGGTTTTGTTTTGTTGTTTTTCTCTTCAGCACTGGGTATGGAACCCAGGGCCCTCTGACCACTAGGTACTCCTTACTGCTCTATATCCTCAGCCTGCCTGTGTTTTCCTTTGGAGACAGTTTCTTAATAATTTGCCCAAGCTGACCCATGAACTCACTTTGTGGTTTAGTCTGCCCTTGAACTTATAACCCTCCTATCCCAACCTCCTGAGTAATCAGACTTGTCTCCAAAGATGCATTTTCCTTTTTTTTTTTTCTTTTCGGCTTTTGAAGCAGGGTTTCACTGTTGCCCTAGCTGGTCTGGAGTTGGCCATGTAGACTAGGCTTTTCTCGAACTCACAGAGATCTGTCTGCCTCTGTTTCTCCTGGTGCTGGGATTAAAGGTGTGTGCTACCAGGCTACTTTTCAAGTAGGGACATTATATCCTTCCTGGTTATGGGATAATTTTATTATATGGATCATAAAAATTCAAGGTAGCCTCATCTACCTACCAGAAAGAACACAAAAATGTGAAAATGCTAAAGTAATTTGGGGGAGTGCAGTAATTTTCAGATCCTTATCTAGTAAGTTTGTAAAGCCCAACTGTCTTTGTGTGTGACAATCCAATGGGAAGGGAGTATTCTGCTTTGGAAGGTCTCAAAGGTAAGCAGTACATTGACCTTGATCTTTTCCTGTTTGATCAGGCGAGTTTGGAAGCAGTGAACCAGGGAGAGAAAATGGGAGCTGGAAGGCTAGGCCAGATGCCGCTTGTTACTGTTAATCGCTTATGTCCTGATGAACATGAGGCAGCATAAGGCCTGTTTTGTGCCTGGATGGGAGACTTTCTGGGAATCAGACAGGAGGATGTGGAAGAGCTGTGTTCAGAGAGCTTGTGGAGGAAGCCTGGCCCTGGGGTATCTTTTCTTTAGTGAAGGTCCCTCAGTGCTATACAAACAGCTGCTGTCGGAAGGGGAGGGAACTGAAGTGTGTTGGTTTGAAACAAACCTATAAGGTCCAGGAATTTTAAATTCAAACCTAAAGGGTCCAGGTTCTTGCAAAATATGTTTGTCAAGGCTGGACAGATAGAATGTACTTTAGAGGACAATTTTATTAGCCTTTTTTTTTTTCTCTAAATATTGCATGTACTCTTGTTTTGAGAATAAGCCAAGTGAACTCTGTTTATTTGATGAACATCTGTGCCCAGGGAGCCCATGAGCCTGTGCTGCCTCTTGTTTGTCTGCTTCAGCCTTTGGAATGTGCCACCACCCCTGGCTTATACTTACCCTGTGTGTGGTGTACCCCGGCTTACACATACACTGTGTGTGGTGTGCCCCGGCTTACACTTACCCTGTGTGTGTGTGTGTGGTGTGCCCGGCTTACACTTACCCTGTGTGTGGTGTGCCCCGGCTTACACTTACCCTGTGTGTGGTGTGCCCCGGCTTACACTTATCCTGTGTGTGGTGTGCCCCGGCTTACACTTACCCTGTGTGTGGTGTGCCCCGGCTTACACTTACACTGTGTGTGGTGTGCCTGTACGTTCTACATTTTTGTGTGTGAGGAAACAGAGGTATGAAAAAATAAAGTCCTTTGCCTAAATAGGGGGTCAGGATTGGAACCCAGGGTGCTCAGAAACTCATGCTTGACTCGTGTCTCTTTTGATGCTTCTTTAAAGATTGGCAGCTGAGTGAGGTGGGGCAGTGGAGGCAGGAGCATTAGGAGTTCAAGGCTAGCCTCAGCTGTATAGTGAGTTTTAGGCCAGGATGTATGTGAACTTGTCTGGAAAACAAACAAAAAAGCGGAAAGGGTTAAAACTGCCAGGCATGTTGTCACACATCAGTGATTCCTGAGAAGTAAAGGCAGGAAAAACAAGAGTTTGTTGGTTTTGAGTGTCTGAGTGAAAGCCTATCTCAAAAAGGAGTCCGGAGAGGGGGAGGAGTTAGAACAACAAACAACCAGAGGCTTTAACCTGCCCAAGACCTTCTGTAAGGAGAGGAGTTCCGTCTTGAAAGTCAGTGGAAGTGCCATAATCTTCTTGCTCTGTTTGGGATTTGGCCTTTATTGTCCCAGTAGACTTGTCACTGTAATGTGCCTTCATGTCCTTGGAATGGCCAGCAAGTGATGGAGGGACTTGGGAGTGTGCCCTCGTTGTGGCTTGGTCCCCTGAGGGTAGGAGAAGCCCTTGTGGCTTGTGTCACACTGCAGAGCCTAAAGGAAAAAATAATTTTCCTCAGGGTTCCAGCAAGACAGAGTTCCTGTTTACTGGGTACTTTTTGGTTTCATTTGCTTCAGTTCTATAATTAGATTCCAAAACTCCAAATTTTGGAATTCCAAAAGGCCACTAAGGATGATCAGGTGCCCTGTTTGAGGTGTCTGTTTTCTTGCCCTCATTGACCTGCCTCCTTGTAAACAGAACTACCCTCACCACAGAGCAGTCTAGTTAGGACCGATCTTGAGGGGGAGGTGCGGGGCTTTGACTCCCGGGAGAGTGTTAGATTAAGTTTTAGTCCATGTAAGAGTTGCCCTTTGGCTCTGACTTGGATCAGCTGTCCTAGAAAGAAGAGTTCTGAAAGACCAGATTGATTTTTATGTAATTTGAGGAGGGAGGAGTTAATAGTTGGTGTTCATCAGAGATGCCATGGCTGTTCTGTGCCCTTGACCCTTCCTGAGCAGTGTGTCCAGCTTCTCATATGCAGCTGTCTCACAGAAGGTCTCAGTCAGTATCACCTGTTCACAGCTTAGTGCTTCATGATAACAGCTCAGCTGTTCTTTATAAATGTTCATGGAGGGGCCAGCTGTGGTGGCACACACCTGATGAGAGCCTGAGGCAGAAGGATTGTTAGTTGGATGTTGGCTGGGGGACAACATTGTGAGACTTTGCCTCAAGAATAAAGACAAAAATTTTATTGTGTTTATGTTGCATGTTGATAACTTTTTTGTTTGTTTGTTTGTTTGTTTTTGGTTTTGGTTTTGGTTTTTCGAGACAGGGTTTCTCTGTGTAGCCCTGGCTGTCCTGGAACTCACTCGGTAGACCAGGCTGGCCTTGAACTCAGAAATCTGCCTGCCTCTGCCTCCCAAGCGCTGGGATTAAAGGTGTGCGCCACCACTGCCCAGCTGTCGATAACTTTTAAATGCTTTTTTGAGCTTGAGATAATTGTGTAGTAGCAATATATTTCCAAACCAGTCAGTACTGCATTTGTCTTTATGTTGACTTTTATTGTGATAAATATGTGTGTTGTGAAATATAACGCAGCAGAGTGGTACCTAGGTATGCCATTGAGTAGTTATGCCATGCCTGGTATAAAGGGGGTTTATTTGGGAGAAAGGAGGGGAGTGAGGACCTGGAAAGGGGGAATGGCAGAGACAAGTGGAGATGTAGACAGGAAGACAGACAGGAGCAGAGGCACGAGGGCAGAGAAGACGATGAGGCACAGAGAAAGAAAACGGGAGAGACCATTTGGGACCATATGGGGACAGAGACAGGGAGACACAGAGACAGAAACAGAGAGCGAGTCACAGAAGAGAGAGACAGAGATAGACGGGGAGGGGGGAGAAAGAGAAGAAGAAGAGGAGGGGGAGAAAGAAGAAGAGAAAAAGAAAGAAGAGGAGGGAGGGAAGGAAGGAAAGAGAGAGAGGCATTTCTCTCTGGTACCATGAAGTGTGTAGTCTGGTGTGTTTGATTGTTTTTGTGGTCTCATTTCAGATCTCCCTGGAGTTTAGAAATTTGGCTGAGAAATATCGAACAGTGATCGCCGACATCTGCCAAAGGATGGGGTGTGGGATGGCAGAGTTTGTAGACAAGGATGTGACCTCCAAACAGGACTGGGACAAGGTTAGTATCTGTAATCAGGGTCCACATCTGCTACGTAGATGACCAGCTGTTCCCATAGTGAA